GAGACTATTTAATCCCTCTATTGGGCATTAAACTACCTATTTGTATTCCAACCAATTTATGTTAGCCTGTGACTTCTATAGAATCTTCGGCAAATAGTTGAATAACGACGAGTAAATTTTTTAATAAATAACCTTCACGCCTCTTCATATTAACACCATTAGTATTTTTTGTTTTAGTCCATTCAAAGCGGTCTGGGACTGGATTATATTGCTGCTTGTTATATACACGGCAGTATTCACACCGTACGTTGCGGCCTTTCTTCTCAGAGAAGTTTGTCTTCCTTCTTTCGTCACCATCGCTAGCGAAGCATAGCATCAATTTTTGCGAATTTCTAAACCAACCCAAAACTAAGGGCGTTGATTTCAGTTACAAGATACCTCACGTAAGGCTCGATTTACGGAGCCGTTGGAAATCGTCGATTTGATAGTGGATATTATGTTTATAGTGGACATTATTATTAATTTTCGCACTACGTACGTCAATGAGAATGATGAGGTGAGTCGAACTTTTCCATAATATAAACTGTTTTAAGAATTTCTCTTCTTCTGATTGTTTTCCTTTTGTAAATCTGCTATAGTACTACCGTAACCTACAGCAATCCCAGGTAGTGTCACACCCGGGTAAAATAGCCATCCACTATTTCAAAGGATGGTTCGTCATAGATATGATAGCTGCCGTGCCATTCGATCTGTTATTAGTGAACACAAACAGCGATGAAGTAAGCAAACCTATACCGAATCAATAGATCAATTTGTTGACTTGATTGTTTACAGACTACCACGCTTATTGGTCTACTGAAAACTGCTCGATTATTACGGTTAGTGCGGGTAGCAAGAAAATTAGATAGGTGAGTCATTTTGCTCTTTTTACTTGACTGAAGATGAATGAAAAATGATTAAATAAAACTTTAAAAAGTGGATAAGTGTGAATAAATGAATAATGAAATTATATTTTAGCCAATTTTTTCATCGATCTTTTCGAACATAAATGGACTTTAAGGTATTCCGAATACGGTGCTGCCGTGTTGTTACTATTAATGGCGACGTTCGCCCTTATTGCTCATTGGTTAGCGTGCATTTGGTACGCGATAGGAAGCGCCGAACTGCCACATAAGCGTGAAATCACGTGGTTACATCAATTATGTAAGTTTCTAGCTCGTTTCCTTATTTTATTATTGAAAATAAACTAGCAAAACGTTTT